GGAATATACTTGTGGTTATATGCCTGGTAGACCTACTTATGCCCACATATTCACCCTTACACTGAATGAATGTATGAATTTGGTGTCCTTGAAAACCATTACGACTATGCAGGCTGACGCAGAACATTTACTAACAGGATAGTCAGATACCTAAGGCCGTTTTAGAGAGGGTCTATCGAGTTAAAAAAAGAAAGAACAATTTATAATATAAGCCCACAACTGATGTTATATGCCGATGAAATTGACATCAGCGGGATCAACAACGACGCATTTAGTACTGCTTTCTTTAGATTCGATAGTTTAGCAAGGAAAATGGATATGGTAGAGAGCGAGGATGAGACAAAAGAGAGTAAATAGTCAGCGCACTCACGTTTTGCCACCCACAACACTGTTGAGAATTTTAATCGTCTATGAATCAACTGCAATACAACCAATAAAGTAACCCAACTTAGAACCACTCTTTTCAGTAGATGTCAGTTTAGACTTAGCAGAAAATTAAAATGTGAATTCTTCTCTCAATGTACAAAAGTCAAACTCTACAAGTCCGTAGTTATCCTTGCCCTACCTTATGGTGCAAATACCAATTTCCAATTTGGATCAGAGCTTGCGAGAGATATGTTTTGATCAATGTTTTGATCAAAATAGCCAGTTTTCTCTGAAAATTTTTGATACAGTAACCGGTGGTGGAAGCAGAAGAAGGGAACGTCAGCATCTGTAATTATACTTATTGCCCTAAACGGGATTAGGTTGCTAAAATAATGACATAATGACGCATAAACACAGCTCTTTGCTTGGATCTTAATGGTGTCGACGTCATCGACTAGCTGTATTTCTTTGACCTTAAGCATAGGTGAACCAGGACCTCATTCCTATTTTATATATAATATATAGAGAATACCTGCCTTTAAGCCCACTCTTCAAATTAACAGCAGCGAATAATCGGTGCCTATGCAAATTAAGACGAATGAAATACGCGTTGTATTCGGAAATGACTTCCGATTTATCAATTTATCCAGCCTGACACCGAATGCGCTAATCCATCTGATCTTAACTCTTACATAGTCATTTTCAACTTTGAAGAAAGAAATGAATAATAACCGTCACATACTTGCATATATATTTCAGTATTCAACTATTTTCTATAGTAATTTTAGTGAGTTAAAAAAAATCGAAACAATCGCATTTGAATGACGCGCAAAAACTTATTGAAACTTATTTCTCGCTCAATATAGTCAATTCAAAATCTGTACAAATTAAATTTCTTTCAACGATTTTAGGCAAATAAAATGCACAAAGCCCTCCGCAACAAATTTATTTTGACAGCTGTGGCAGCTTTAAAAGTTTCTCGTATTGATAATCGTGTACTGTCAATGGGTACTAAATAAATGAATACCCATAGAAGGCAACAATAAACAAAAAAAAAAAAATAAATCAATAAGAGTATTAAAATCCAATAAAGTATTAAAATCAATTTATCAACAATTTAAAGCTATAGTAGTTGTATGTAAATAGATATGTGTACTAAATTGTTGTGGATTTGCTAGTCAATCGGATTCTCATCAGTTTACCGATTTGGTTTTTGTGGCTGAAAATGTTTAGAAATGCAGACATTTAAAAAATAAAAGAAAAACCACAATTTAAAATTGTGAATGCGTTGAATGTCTGGAATTTAGCAGCCATTGTGATAAATACATAACAAAATTTCAAATAAAAAAAAAAAAATAAAAAATAAAAAAAATAAAAGTAATTCCATGTACATACTTGTATACTCGTTTACAATACAATACAATATACTCAAGTGAGTTTGTGCTGTGTTTTTGATCATGTTTTCCAACATATGTAGGTTAGGCTTAGTGGTGTAAATCGAAAAAATCTAAAATTAAACTAAAAACATTTTAAGCACACTTCATTCGAATTTGTTGTCACCCACATTTCTACGAATAATCCTCCCCCGAAAAAAGTATTGAAAATTGTTGTTTGTCTACATAAAAAAAGAGCTACAGAAAAAGTAAAAAAAAACATAAAATTCAGAAAAATGCATCAAATCTTTATTTGCATCGATAGTACAGTCTATATAATTTATAGTTTGAAGATCATTTAACGCAAATGTTGACCGTGAATGCGCCTCAAATGGTCCATCCGCTTAGTCCAATTTTGGCGTACTCTTTCCAACATTTCGGCCGGTATCTTACTAGCAAATGCTTCATTGTTGTCCTCACATGCGTCAATTGAAGCAAGCTTTTCTGTATAGACATAAGTTAATTAGTCTAAATGCGTTAAATCACACTACCTAGGCGGCAAATTGACCGGTCCCGAACGTGAAATAAAATGTTCACCGAACTCGCCTCTCAAAAAGACCATCGTTAAGCGTGCTTTGTGGCATGTGGCACCGTCTTGTTGGAACTACAAGTCATGCAAATCAAGCTCTTGTAATTTGGGCAAAAAAAAAATTTGATACAAACTAACGGTAGCGCCCACTATTCACAGTTACGTTACGATTCGTATCATCCTTGAAGGAGTACGGTCCAATAATGCCACCAGCCCATAATCCGCACCAAACTGTGACTTTTTGTGGATTCATTGGTAGCTTTTGCGGCGCCTATGGCTGATCTGCACTCCAAAATCGACAATTCTGCCTATTTACGCATCCATTAAGCCAAAAATGAGCTTCGAAGCGCGCAATGAGCTTTCTTAACAGAGCACGCATTTCGATAATAAAATTTTATGATTTGCGAGCGTCAGCTGTTTAATCCAGTGTTGCCAAAAAAATAATAGCTAAAAAAAAGCACCCTTTCAAATAAAGAATTAAATAAAAAGTAGAGCTGCCCTTGGTCTTTCCGCATACATTTCAATACCATGCAAAATTTACGGTATTTTTTTGGTATAGTAAAAAATCGGACATAAATATACAAAAATATTTTATATATTAAATATATGTAAAATTTAACTTTAACGGTTATTTTCGGAATCAGCAGGGTAGTGCGATGGTTGTGGGAACCAGCTCCAATGAAAAAATCGATAGACCTCGCCCGACGACAACCCTCGCACACGTTTTACGGATAACAATTTGATTGCATGCACCTAGCACTTCTGGTCCCTTAATTGGGAAGGTGCTGCAGCCCAACTGGTTGATGTCCTCGTAGGAATATACGCTGGCATCACCGCCGTTGAAGAAGTGCGATGGACGAAACAAGGAGAGAAGCGCTAATTTTGTGCTTGATTTGAAGGCATTTAAATACATACAGTTGCAAACGAAACTATTGGATTTCGTACGATGCGGACTGCCGTGCCACAGTGGAGAGAACAGGCTGCCTACTTTACAATGTTGCGAAAGAGCAGCATACGTGCATGTGTAGATAAAAAAGAAAGAAGCTGAGATTCACAATTTGAAAAGGTTGAAAAGCTCATCGACCAGAGTAAAGAACGAAAATTCTTCGAAAAGATACGGCGACTTACAGAAGGTCTGAAGGCCGGAGCTGACACTAATAGGACACAAGGGGTTGATCCAGTGACGGATGCACAGTGTATACTGAACTTTTGGAAGGTACAACAAAGCGATGGGGGCCGATGAGGTGCATGCATGGCAAAACTTGGTCGGATGAAAGCGTGCCCGACGATTCCAACCTAAGTGTACTCTGACTAATCGATAAAATGGCCGATCCCACAGTCTGCGCCAAATTACCGTGGAATATGCCTCTTAAATATCGCATATTACCTTACTGTCGAGCGTATTGAGTGAAAGACTAAAGTTCACCGTTAAAAATTCGATATGGACCATGCGCCAAATTTTGGAAAAGACCTGTGAAAAGACACCCACCACATTTTCATCGGTTTTAAAGCAGCATTCTACTGCACAATAAGGAGATGATTCTATGTCGCCTTGTCTGAATTTGGTATCCCTATAAAACTAACACCGCTGCTGATACTGCCCCTTGATGGCACCTCTCCGAGCCGTTCGGTGTTAACCAGGTTTCAGATAGGGTGACTCTTTACCATACGATTTTTTAATTGGATGCTGAAGAAAATAATAAGAGTTACAGAGTTCGAAATGATATTTCAAGGAATCGCCAGGCGTAAGTTCTTTCCCAAAATTTTTTAATCAACCGCAGTTTATGACCTCAAATTCTGTGAAGTTACTAAAGAATTTTCAGTATTTAAAATAAATTCCATATGAGCATATCACTTAGTACGAAGTGGGTTTGTGAGTGTGGGAAACCGATTCAATTCATGCGCTTATAAAAAAGTGAAAATGGGCATGTAAAGGAACTAATTCCATGGTTGTCCTAGCACTTATGAAAGTGTCAACATGCTCTTGAACGTGTTGACATATTGGCACTGATTCTTATGCATAAAAGTCAGCGCAACAACGGTGTGTGGACTAACTGGCTGCATGCTGAGTAGAAACGCATAAGCACGGCAGGACGATTTGTTGATGGGCGCAAAGTTTTTCGCATTCAGAACACAGCTGAGTATTGAGAGATTTCTAAAAGTCTACAAAAAACCCCAAAGCGCATGCACTGCATTAACTACAGAGGCAGAGAGTGGAATGTAAGAGAAAAAGAGAGCGAGAGTATAAAATGATATGTGTTGAGAATTTACAAAACTTGGAGAGCGCATCTAAAATAGTTTCGATTTAAAAATATCCAAGCTTTGAAATCAAAAGAGCAAAGACCTTACAGCCGGCAACTGAAAGAGCAGCCACAATCAGCCTACGCTCGTCGGCAAAGCAGTGTACTACAGTCGAACGATTTGTGGATGGTGATTTTTTCGCGAAACCCTACAATTGCCATTGACCAACTGTTTGTTCTTTTGGCCAAAATCATTGCGCACTTTGCCATACAAATAACTACTCGGCTGATTTTACAATCGTTGACTGCTTACATGAATCGGTTTGGCCGGTCGGTCGGTTGGTTGACTGTCTGGTTGTAAGCTCGTTTTCGTTTCGTTTCAGTATAAAATGTGCCCGACTCTACATGACAAAAACAGTCTCCAAGTGAACGTCGCCGCTGTCGGTATATGTTAATGGCAAAGCGGAATAATGCCAAGCGTATAGCGTTTCAAGCGCGACGGTAACAAAAACAAAATATATTTACGCAAAACGAACGTGTGAATAATACAAAAAGAAAAGCAAAAAAAAACAAAAAACGACTTAAACGAAACGATGTTGTTCTTGGCACGCATATACACATAAACTAAGTCGCAGTGAAAAAATTTTGGACTGCTTATGATGTGTTTGTGTGTGCGTGTCGTGCGAAGTGTAAGTGAGCGGAAGCGCGAAGCGATTTTCAAAAGGAAATTGAACCAAATTCAATTGAAGTGCTTTGGGTGATAAAAAAAGAATTGAATAAGGAAAATGTAAAAACGTACATATATATTTATATAAATTTACATTTAATTAACGAAAATATATTTATATATATTTGCCCATAAAAGTAATTAATATACTTAAAAAAAAAAGGTTGCAATGGAAATTGTGCGTGCAAAAAGGATAACACAAAGGTGCGTGCGCGTGATTTAGCATATTTTTTTGTGATTGAGTTTGTTTTCTGTTGTAGCCTTTCAGTTTTATAATTTTTTTATTATAATTTTTTAGCATATTTTTCCAGCTCTTGTTTCATAACATCTCCTGCGATTCTCAAAGTCTAAAATTTTGCTAAATTTTTTCCTAACGCTCTTTACGCAAATCGATAAATGAATTTTCAAAAAATAAATGTAAAAAAAGTCAGAAATTTTAACGTTCATCAGCAATTAGGCGTTCTCATTTAGCTACATATCGACTCCTCAGTGATTCTGCTGTTTTAACGTCTGGTTGTGATGACTTAATTGAATAAGTTGAGTAGGGTTGAATGTGCTAAAAAATAAAATAAAAAAAAAAAAATAAAATAAAAAAAAACATAGAATGCACTGAGGCGTAAATGGAAATCTGGATTTGCTACACCACTGCCTACACATACATACATATATGATATAACATCATTAACATGTGTCTGAACCAATTTTCTCTACAAACATACAACTCTGTCTGTGAATGAAATATTCTTGTGCTGCTGAATAGTGTTTTTTGCATTGACCTTGTTTTTGTCGTTCAGTCAGAAATGGCTGTGGTGTATTAACATTTTTTTTTGTATTTGCTGTGGCGGCTTCATTTGAAACTAACTTTTCTGAAAGGCGCATCCACAAAAGTGTTGCCCTGCTGAAATTGTTACGGTACAGTGATTAGTCAGTTGTTTGGCTATTTGTATGTTACTTACGCTATTGTCATCATTTGCATGTTCTGCTTGGTTGACGCTTACTGTGCGAACAAGCGCACCACAGCGATGGAACATTTTTGTGTTGTTGCATAAAAAAGAGAAAAAAAATAGAGCTAATCTGTTGTACAGCGGAAGTAGTAACAATGAAAAGTGCTTGAATATATACATAATATATATAACATATATATATTTCTATAAAAAGTTCGGCATAAAAATATAGACATAAGTGTATGTAATAAAATTTTTAAATATTAAAAAAAAATAATATTTTTAGATTTTTCTAAAACTTAAAACAACAAAATTAAACTAAGTGTAAACATTTTTGAGCAGGGCAAAAGCTGGTAAATATATATAAAAATTTAGCAAAAATGTAAGAGAAAATGCTAAGTAAAATTACAAAAAATTCTAAGAAAACTACTCTAAACGTTTCTACATAAATGCATAAAAATAAAAATGAAAAAAAAAAGAATTAGAAAAAATGTGGTAAATAAAGGAAACAATAAATCTAAAATTCCTGAGAAGTTGCAATAAAAGCTAAAATACATAACAATTTATTTTTAAATAAGAAATGGAATTAAAACGTTTACATACAATTTTTACAGAATATGCGCAAAAGTCATAAATAAAACATTCAAATGGAAAAGATCGAATTTGCGTAGTACAACAACAACAGCGGTAATATTGTTCTAATTTATTACATACGCAAAAACTTAAAAAAAATATTTTGAATAAAACCCATAAAATTCTAAAATATTTAACAAAAAAATTTTAACATATAAATTTTAAATTGTTGTATTTGTTGGAAATCATCGAGCTGCACATCGCAAGTTTGAATAGGAGCTCGGCCGAAAATTGCTACAGCGATTATAAGGTGTCAGCTACATACAAGTATTCATATATAAATGTATATATATGTATGTAAAAGGGGTCAAGGGGCTCAAAATATATTTTTAACTTTTCGGATTATAAAATTAGAATAAGTTCAAAAAAAAATAATTAAGATAATTTAAATGCAACCTATTATATTCTTGGTCTTAAAGTGATTGTATCAAGTAAAAAACCATTGTATTTCCACTTTTAAATTTCTCGCATATATTTTTAGTTTAGTTTCAAACAAATCGATCTTTTTTCCATATTTCGGTAGATTAACACATTAAAATTTCAAACCGATATCTCAAATAGTTTTTGAGTTACAGTAATTTAAAGAGCAGCCGCTCGGCAGCTGGAGTGTCTCATTAGCTACGAGTGAAAACGATCATTTTATCTTTAAACGCGTATTTCCGAAACAGCATTTTCCGAATTTGCTGCAGTGATTACTTAAAAACAAATGATCCGATCACTATCGATTTTTTTACATGTTCTATATATTGTTCTGCGTACAATGACTTATCGATTTTAGATCTGATCAAAAAATCTAATTTTGGCAGGCCAATAGAGACCAAAATTTTGGGTAAAATTAGACTATTTTTTGTAAAACGCCAAATTATCAAATTTCTGATATTTTTTTTATCGTAGGTCATTGTACAAACAATATTATCTAGTAAAGATAAGGCAGAAATTACTAAAGCAGTGAAGAACTATTTTTCGCTCCTTTGGAGATCGACTATAACTTAAAAAATATTTAATTTTTTATCTTCAAAATTTCACTGTATATTAAAACATGTGTAAATAATTCCCAAAATTGTGAAATAATTGATAAAGTGTTTTTTTTAATAAAAATTACCAAAAATCACCTTTTTTAGGCCAAAACATTAGGTCTGCTCCTTAAAGCAGTATTTTGAAATTAGAGATATATAGAAAATGAAAACCTTTAACTTGTCGATATTTACGTAGCATTATTATTTTTATTTGATGTATATTGCTTCATATAAACCAATATTTTGTAAAATTTTATTAAAATGGGAATATCGAATTTCACATATTTTAATGGTTTTTTTGGCGGATTTTTGTTCGAAAACCTACTATAACAAATCATTTGTAACCATTCATTTGCACCAATATATTACTTATTCTTTGTGCATAGAAAATCAAATGGCATTTTCTGAGACGTTTTATTGAAGTTTTTATCACCCAAAATCATATATCTAAAAATATCGGCTTTACGGGAGCTATATGTGATAAAGATCCGATCTGCCGAATACGATAAAAGGCAAAGGCAAAATAAAAATCCATCTGGTTTCAAAGTTGGATTCATACACTGAGAAACTAGTTTGCGTTCATACAGGCGGACGCGCAGGCAGACGAAAATGGCTAAATCAACTTAACTCGACATTCTGATTAGGGGTTTCGAAGGGTATAAATCATAATGAGTATGTTACTGACCCATATCGGATAAAAGTTAATATTGCATTTAGGGTGCATAAAAAGCATGATGATCCTTTTTCAACTCTGTCTTACGGTCAAAATTATATTAAATAAGTCAAAAAAAAAAAATAAAAAAATAAATAATAATAATAATAACAAATTGCTTTATGACAAAATTATAATAAATGAACGATAACACTTTAAAAACTAAGTAAAATTAAGTAAATATATTTGGCCAAGTAAAAAGTTCGTGCAATTTTAATCCAAGATAATTGATTTTCATAAAAACCGGCAAGATTTTGGTTTAAAATAACTCATTTGTAAATAAATAGTAAATTCCAACTTCTTCACAGGACCTCCAGAAGCATAGCAACCAATATAGTAAATTGTTATGGCCTTATGGGTATTCGCATTCAAAGTAATTTTCTGCTTTTCGAACAACTTTTGTCGCAACTACAGGAACATAAATGTGGAGAAATCAATAAGCCACTGTTCAGCTCTCACTGTGGTCTTTTCTTTTCTCGAAAATATCTTCTTTGATTGCGTTGCAGATTTTCCGTTTGTAGACATCAAGTGACTTGGGCATCTGAAATATCCTACACCGGATTGAATTTTGGTTGACCATCTAGCCACTAAGCCTCAGTGCGCTTGATTATGATTCTGCTATCGAGCAACATGTCTTTTCAATTCGATTTTCAAATCAATACAAATTATGGTTAAATTAAACTGAAGTGTTGGGAAGTTCAATCACTTTAAAATACTTCCAGCATAGTTATAAAATTTTTATAATTCAATTCCACATCTTTCAAAGACAAATAATCGCTAAAGCGTTATCCTGTCTGCTTACAAAATTGGCTTGAAATATGTTTAAAACTGATGGACTAGTTTGGTGTTCAAATGCGCAGGTAGTTACAGTGAATGCTCTCAGCTTCTCATCGCATGAAATCGATTTAAATTGTGGAGAGGTTAACCATCTTTCCTCTCAGATGCTTTCTTACAACTCACTATAGTCGCAATACATTAGAAAATACAATTAAAAACGTGATTTCTTCAAGATTAAATTTTTACAAAATATAAAAATTTTCCACATGTCTTTTATTGGGATTTGGTTAAGGCGAAGAGATTAACAAAGAAAAGACGAAAGACGCTTAATGCCAGATAGCTATGAAGCCGGCTGTGAACAGAGAATGAAACTACTTTGAGTTAATATCTGATGACTCTGCATATTTTGGTTAGCTTTAGTATGTCCTTGTCATAAATCGATTTTCGACTACATTTGTATTTTCACAATTTAATTTATTGTGAAATGAATTGGGATAATAGCCCAGGCGTATGCGTAAAATTGAGGGCAAGAGGAAATATACAAAATTATGAAAAACTCATTGCCTTCTAAAGTTGCTTTCCGTTTCACTCTTTTTTTTCGAAATCAAGCAAAAAAAAAAAAAAAAAAAAAAAACTATAAGAAAACATATAAACTTTATAACCTGAACGTGCATTGACGAAAAAAGTTGTATGAATGCAAGCAAATATAATAACTTGACCCTGTTAAATTTTTCTTAGCTTCTATCGAAAAGGAAAAATGCAATACAAAAATTATAAACACATATTGGTAAACAAATATTTAGGGCAGCAAAAGTTAGCACAGAATAAACAGAACAGAAAAAGAACAGAAAAAAAAAACAAAAAATAATAAAATAAATGAAAGCAAGAAGTAGAGGATAAATGACCGCGCAGGTTTAAGGATTTTGAGTCCACCTCCGGTAAGACAGGTCTGTCGTAAGGTTTAACTAAGATCCTATACTGCCTGCAAAAGCTGGAGCTTTATACCGGAAGGACGCCAATTTTTAGCTGAATTGCTACACCCGCCTTATTCACCGAAAGCCAATTTGAGGAATACCTAACTTTGCGGTAACAGCAATAACAGCTCAAAATGCAAACTCTTAA